TTTTTTTTTTTTTGCCCCAGGCTTGAGTGCCTTCATAGCTCACAGCAACCTCAAGGGTTCAAGCAATTCTCTTGCCTCAGCCTCCAGAACAGCTGGATTACAGGCACCTACCACAACGTCCAGTTAGTTTTTCTATTTTTAGTAGAGACAGGGTCTCGCTCTCGGTTGGGCTAGTTTCAAACTCCTGAGCTCCGGCAATCCGCCTGCCCCAGCAGCTTCCAAAGTGCTAAGATTACAGGCACTTTTTCTACTTTTTTGTAGAGACAAATTCTGCTTATGTTGCTCAGGTTGGTCTTGAAGTTCTGGCCTGAGGCGATCCTCTGGCCTTGGCCTCCCAAAGTGCTAGGATTACAGGCATGAGCCACTGTTCCTGGCCAATCATACAGTCTTAACTGGTAAAACATTATGTAGTCTTGGTAAATCTAAGAATTCTGATAGAATTTATGTGTTTAAGTGCTTTTACAGACTATGCCAAATACCATTGTTTATTAAGCAGTTATTCTTTGCCAGATCTTTAACACATATTAACTCATTTAATTGTCACAATCCCCCTTTCGAGTAGGTACTGGTTACTAAGATGGCAAGTCTAAGACATAGAGCATGGAAGTCATTGTTCAAGGTTACCCAGCTGGTAGAAAACTCTAAGGCCAGAAATCAAATCCAAGTTGCCTCATTTTAGAATCTACTTTTAACCACTATGCCACCCCATCCTTCTGAAGCTAGACTATAGAGTACTTATAATTATTGTCCATGTAAAATTTAAGTCCAAGAACCATCCTAATACAGATGTTGGCACGCTAGGTCTGGCTACTCAACAAGTTCACACAGCCCTCACCTTCTATATAGTTGTTCATCAACCACTGGCAAATGGCCCCACTCTGAAGATGATGGACCTTCCGCTAGTTATAGCACAAACCATGACTTTGATTATTTAACCCCAAAATAGAACTAACACTGCAGGAGCTCCTGAGGCCCTGATGAATGGCAGAGATGCAAAAGTCCATTAGTCTGGCTGTTCTTACCTGTTCGATTGCCCCAAATCTCGAGACCAACCCAGTCGGGGCCCAGCAGTTGCCCTTGTCCCTCCTCTTTTGAATTCTGACTCAGACATGTCATCTGGGTTGAAGGTTGTTGACTGACTTCTCCTGAGTCTGAGGAAGACACAGCACACATTGCCTTATTAGACTTGAGGAGGCCTCAGACTTGTGAATCACAACATTTTTAGCCAGCACATATAGTAGAGCCTATCCTTTTTGTGTGTCATTAACATAGACATTTGAGTTTAAACTCTAGAGAGACTCCCAGTGAGTTACTGGATCCCAAATCACAAACTTCCTTCCATAAGAGGAATATAAAAGTCTATAATTCCATACCCATTCTCAGCCAGTTTTCCAATTATTCCTACGTCTGAGTTACATGGAAGACAAGGCCTGTTCTACGTGATCACTTTTTTACTTACTTTCCGAAGAGTTTCATGATACCTCTGGATTTCTTTTTGGAATCTGGAGATGGTGGAGATCCTGGGAAGGGACTGTTCCCCTGTGAACCTTTTGGTCGAGAAGACACACCAGCCAGGTCTAGGTGTTCTGTTGTCTCCTTTTCTGTTTCAGCTACTCCAAGAACAAAATAAAGACTTAATAAGTTTTAAAATGTGGTATGAACATGATTAGATGTTAATCTTGGTTTTAGCAACTGTTAAGTATTCTTCTTCTGTTGGCTTATAAATCACTGATTTACAAAGATACCCTGTAAATATTAAAAATGTACATTCTACAGTTTGTGTGTAAAGTTAATTAACTTAAAATCTCAACTCTTTTGAAGATTAAAAGAGTGTTATAAGATTGCCATATTCTGGGGAGGCGCCTGTGGCTCAAAGGAGTAGGGCACCGGCCCCATATGCCAGGGGTGGTGGGTTCAAACCCAGCTCTGGCCAAAAACTGCAAAAAAAAAAAAAAAAAAAGATTGCCATATTCTTTCCCTGAGTGACCTGAATTCATAATAGACCTAGCCTCCACATGGCTGCAGTGCTTGCTAGGTTGAGGTCTCCTGTATCCTTTAAAACTATCTCCTTTAGCTTCCTGTCATGACACTCTCTTGGATCTGTCAGCTCATAATCCCTTGTTTGCTGTGGCTTTCCTGTTTCCTTCCTCCTCCATTCTGCTCTAAGAGTCTGTCCTAAGTTCGTGCTGCAGGATCTCCTGACAAGCTCATCCAACTCTAAGCTCAGCACTAAATAATTGCTTTACTCATTTATAAGTAGGTGGCATTAAAATCACTGGGCCTCACCTCTCTCTCCAGCCTCAGCATCTGAATGCGTGTACTCTCAGTTTAGTATGTTAGGGATATTTGGGACTCTACAAACCCTTTCACTTTCCTTGAGAGTCTTTTTCTCTCGCGAATCTTTTTAACTAACATTAATTAATATCTTGCTGATACTCCAGATTATATGTCATCCCCTCCCACCATTTTTCCTTAAGAGATGGGGTCTTACTCTGTTGCCGAGGCTGTTCTCAAATTGCTGGCATCAAGCCCTCCTCCCCAGCTCCACCTCCCCAGATCCTGAGACTATTTCTGTGTGAGCCACTGTGCTTGGCCATCATTTTCCTTTGATTTCTTCTCTTTTGGTGTTTCCACCAAAGTCTGTTACCAAGTTCTTGCAATTCTTTACTTAAGAAGTATTTCCTAATCTGTTGTGTCTAGGCACTGAGAGAACAATGAACTGGATTGGATATGTACATTTCCTCTGATAGAGAAAATCAACTTTTGATTTACTGCCTGCTGATTTTACCTTAAAAGAATAACATCCACATTTGTCATGCCCAGATCTCCGAGCATGAACTATTTCAGCTCTTTCAGCTGTTCCTTAGTGGATGATCCCACACCAGCTTTCCCCAAGATGAGATTTAATGCTTTACAAAGGAAAGTAAAAGTTGTGCAAAAAATCACAGGAACAGTGTCTTAGCAAGGTATATAGGTTGCAGAAGTTGACTTTGGTATAAAGCATAGCTGTGATTCTAGGTTGTAGTAAGCAGCATTTGCCTCTTAGCATTAATAATAGTTCTTCTATGAAAAATGCAAAAAGTCTATTTGATAATAGTTGTCTGAATAGAGCAATGTATTTTATGCATCCAGTGTTCATCCTAGACATTGAAGGCTACGAGAGGAAAGTCACTTTTGCTGGTCCACGAGAATAGATATGTAGATACCTATACAAAGTAGTAACACCTATGGGAAAGACCCAAAGGAACATTTCCAATTTAAGTCCCACAACCGTGATGGGTACAGGTGCCTCTGAAAACGTTGCCTAGCTCATTCTCCCTTTAAAATAATCCTATTTCCGCTTTTTATTTTCGGAACTATTTTTTTCTGCCTGTTTCATGCCTATGAAGAGAAAAACTGAGCTACCTTTCTCCTAAAAATCACTTTGGGGTGACTCATCACCTAACGTGTAGAGGTACTTCTGTTACTACCAAACACTACCTCCATCTCAAAGTAGTAAAGTGTCAGAAGAATGTTCCCCAAAGGGAATTAGGCCCAAATTACAATCTTCAATGTCTTCTACAAATCACCTTAGTTAGCTAAAAACAAGTTTTTTTTTTTTGGAGGCTGGGGAAAATGTAAGCATGAATAGGGGTTACACGGACTTGGGAGTTAGTATGTGACGAGACGTGTTTTGAAGGTGAGAGAGCGATAACGTACCATGCCGGGACCCTCCTGCCCTGCCCTCGGCGAGATGCTGCATACTTCTAGTCCTCTCAGCGCTACTCACAAGCTGTCCTTAGCATGGGTTATAACAGAGTTTAGGCTCAGAAGCAAAGCCTCTACACAGTCCTTTTTAGCGGAAAGTGAAAGGAACACTCCGGAATAAAGAACTACATTTTCTGATTGCTGCCAGCTCGCTTTCTAGTGATCACAGATGCCAAGAGCGGGGATTAGCTGGGTTGGGAGCACGGCGCTGGCGCAGGCTGGCATGCAGGGTACGATACCTAAGGTGGGTGCACTGGCACTTCGTTCACGATCTTCAGATACCCCACAACGCACACAATCACACGCAGCCCAATGGAGAGAACACAGGGGGATGACAAAATGAAACATGGATCAGACTTCTCCTGACAAAATACACACTGTGGGGACAGGCATGCACCCCACTGCGCTGCTGACACTACACGGGCTCCAGGAGGACAGCCACCATCAATTTATCCTCTATCAAAACAGACGGGAAACTCTACAACCAAGTCAGAGGGAATCACGATTTTCGGTCTTTCCATTCAGTTAATACCACTGCAGAGTGCAGGGGGACAGTCTACACATCTTTATTCCACTAAATTAAATCCACCAGACATTTGTCCCTAACCTTCCCCCCAAGGCATGCACCTTCGTTTTGGAGAAAGAGAAATGAATGAAGGGAAGAGGCTGAGCGCTCTCTTCTTCCTTCTGGAAGAACTGGGGTGAAGGCGTTCCAGCCATACGTACCCAAGTTGGGGGCACTTGCTGTCCTCTTGTTACTTTTGATTTTAAAAAAGCCCCGGCCGAAGGAAGATCTGGCTTTTCGGGTGCCAAAGGGGTTGTCGTCCACAGAGGTATCGTGTCCTGGAGCTTTGGGAGGGAGGCTCCCAAATGGGCCGCTTTCTGCAGGAGGTTTATCCTGGGAGTGAGGACAGGGAGGACAGTGAGGACAGTGAGGATAGTCAGCACTTACGCGCGTCATCAATAGTACAAGCCAGGCTCAGTGCTAAACAGTCATGCCGCAGACATGGACTTGTCATCAATAGTACAAGCCAGGCTCAGCACTAAACAGTCACGCCGCGGACACGGACTTGCAAAGAGCAACTGAACTAACACACTGATCACCAGTATCAAACACTATAGAAGTGAAAAACAAAGTCAATTCTGGGAGCTACTGAAGAAACAACAACAAAAGCAACAAGAAACACACTTTCCTCACTACTAGTCTATAATCAATTGCATTATTAGAGCCTTAAATAATTAGGATACAGAAATTCTCAAATTTTATTTGCCTCATGAGTCAAAAGACATGGACATATTACATAACTAGGATAATTACCAGTAGATTTCTTATATTCCTAACAATTATGACACAGGTTTGGATACAATACTGTTCAGATACTTTTATAACTCAATAGAAGCCCAGTATAATTATTCTAGAAAGCAGGTATTCGCTTTCCTACTAGCAATATAAGCAGATTCTATTTAAGTTATTTTAAGTATTCTTCCCAAAGAATGAAAAAAAAGAAGGCAGAATCAGGAACTGTTTATTTTGAGCCCTTTGGTTATTTGAAGTAGTAGTTATAGTGATATAATATGTTCTATCGTTTCAGTATTATACAAAGATGCTTTGGTTTGCTTGTTATTTCCCCGATTATCTCTTGCCTTCTGTTTTTGTAGACGGGTGAGGGAATATATAAGGTTATTTATTTATTTATTTTTTGAGTCAGAGCCTCAAACTGTCACGCTGGGTAGAGTGCCATGGCATCACAGCTCACAGCAACCTCCAACTCCTTGGCTCAAGCGATTCTCCTGCCTCCGCCTCCCAAGTAGCTGGGACTATAGGCACCTGCCACAATGCCCGGCAATTTTTTGGTTGCAGTCCTCATTGTTGTTTGGCGGGCTCGGGCTGGATTTGAACCCGCCAGCTCAGGTATACATGGCTGGCGCCTTAGCCACTTGAGCCACAGGTGCCAAGCCAAGGTCATTATTTTATTTATATTTCTACTGCTCATAGTAACTGAAAGTTTATAAATGGCACAACTTAGAGGTATTACAATCAATGTCTTAATGCTAATGTCAAAATCATTTAACCATTCATTGGACTGACAAGACAAAAAGGACTTCTAATTACAGCTGTCACCTGTGACCCAGGCACTAAGAGCCAGTCATCTGGAAGCAGCCTGACTTTTGGGTTGTCATCTGTAAAGGTTACTGATTAAAGATCAAGGGCAAGACGAACTGGAGCACCTGTTGATTACATCTTTAAAAATACTGAAAAGTGGGCAGGGTGCAGTGGCTCACACCTGTAATCTTAGCACTCTAGGAGGCCTAGGCAGTTGGATTGTCTGAGCTCACAGGTTTGAGACCAGCCTGAGCAAGAGCAAGACCTCTGTCTCTAAAAATAGCCGGGCATTGTGGCAGCGCCTAGAGTCCCAGCTACTCAGGAGGCTGAGGCAAGAGACTCACTTGAGCCTAAGAGTTTGAGGTTGCTGTGACGCCACAACACTCTACCAAGGGTGACAAAGTCAAACTCTGTCTCAAAAAAAAAAAAACAAAAAAACCCTGAAAGGTTTGCTTTAGATGGACAATAGTCATATAAAATAAACAGCTGGCAAGCTAAGATGGGCTTTTTATGAGCTCTGAGGAAGACCAATCAGGACCATGAAGAACATCAGACAGGATGAATGGCGGATGACAGTTTTGATTCTGTTTTTTAGTCACTTCTCTAGATGAAATCCACACAACAAAATGATTTTAAAGTGAATAATTCAGTGGCATCTGGTCCACTCCCAGATTTGTGCAACCACCACCTCTGTCTAGTTCCCACACATTTCCATCATCAGAAAGTAAAACCCCCTGGTAACTACCAATCTGCACCCTGTCTCTATGGACTGATTTATTCTGGACACTTCATAGAAATGGAATCACAGAATCGGGGACCTTTGTGTCTGGCTTCTTTCATTTAGCATAATATTTTGGAGGCTCTAAGGATTTTGGTCTCCTAGAGACATTTAAGCAATTTACGTGTAATGAAATCCAAAAAAATTCTTACATTGTCATTTGTAAAAATTACCTCTGAAGGCTTCTGAATAGATTCCTTTTCCTGTTCAAAGCAACAACAATGTTGAAGGTTGTTATAGCAATCCTTTATATATTCTGAATTTGTAATATACAATTCGATAAGTTAAAAAAACACATCTGCCTCTAAGCTATAAAAGTTTCATGTATTTCCTACAATGTTTTATTGAAGTCTCCATTTTGGGTTTTATATACTACTTTTATTTATTTATTTTGAGACAGAGTCTCATTATGTCACCCTTGGTAGAGTGCTGTGGCATCACAACTCACAGCAACCTCAAAGTCTTGGGCTTAAGCGATTCTCTTGCCTCAGCCTCCTGAGTAGCTGGGACTATAGGCACCCACCACAACACCCGGCTATTTTTTGGTTGCAGTTGTCACTGTTGCTTGGCAGACCCAGGCTGGGCTTGAACCTGCCAGCTTCAGTGTATGTGCCTGACGCCCTACTTACTGAGCTATAGGCACCAAGCCTATACCACTTTTAATACTTCATATTCATACTACTTAATATTTATCATTAACCCTGCCATCTATTAATTTTCCATTTGAGAAACCATAAGCCCTTCTTAAGACTTTTATTTGTGAAATAGGGAAAGATGAATATTTTCTTCTCAGAGTAAGAGACAGAAAAAATACAGCACCTACCCTGTCTGATTGCTCTTTCTTCAGATTGCCCAGGCTGCTGGACTTTTGCAGACTTGAAGTTCTAAAAATAACAATAATAATGATTAGGATTAATAAATGGCTCTGGTGCCACATCTTGGAAAGAAACGAAAATTGAGGGTGGGCTGAATCCTGGTAAAAAAAAAAAGCCAGAATCAGGCAGTCACTTATGTGCTTAACTAAATTATAACATTTAGTTCTTTTAAAAGCAGGGGTGGTTAACTGTCCTGCCAACAAGTCTAAATGTCCTGCACATGTTAAGAGTAGCTGGAAAAATACTTAGGACTATCCTTTTGATGTCAACACTTGAAGATAAACCAGTGTTTTCCATAGACTGTATGTCTTCTGCATGTACACATTTATACTAGGAACTTTTAAAAATACTCATATATTATTATTTCTAATCCTTTTAACTCAAAGAAAGACTCACTTTTCAATTCACAAAGAAATCATTTTTCCAAGTCTGGCAAACCAATTCCTTTTATAGTTATGATCAAAGCATAACAGAGGAGTCCCTGTTTCTACCCATAAAAATTCATTTGCCATCCTAGTGAAGGCAAAGTGATGGTAGAGATATCTGGGCACTTTCGCTTTCATGTAATTAGTGTTCAACAATACAGAGCTTGGTGTTACTCAAAAATGGAGGGTCAGGGACATGTGACCAGTTTAGAAAGAAAGAGAGAATATGAATGTATTTTCTTCAGTGGTATAGAAATAGAATAATATATACACTTAAAAGGCATTCTCCTGTATTTACGTGTATAGAAGTTTCTAGAAGTGTCAACTACCAAATAAAGTGAAAGATGATAGTGAGAACAGAGACGGTCTCAGGGATGAGTACTGCTCTGAGAATAGACTTTCTTAATTATAGCCAGACTTTAACTTGGATAAACATAGATATTAGGTCAGTGTAGAAAAGTAAAAATGCAAAAAAAACCTATTTCAGCTTTTCCAGCCATCACATCATCCTCTGAGACTCTTTTCTGCTGGACTCAAAAGGTCAGTACAAAAATGAATTAAAAGCACTGGACCTCAAATGAAAACTGATTAAGGAAGGCTAAAGGATTAGCCTTTGTAAAACCCTAGCGTGAGATATTGGTAAATGGGTATTTCTTTGTAAATTTACAACCCTTCCCCCACCTCTGACCTCACATTACAGCTGCATTTGTTTCATTAATTTAACTGCCTCATTCACTATCAACACTGGTTACTGTTAGCATAACAGAACTCTATTTCTCAAGTCTCAAACACATCTCTTACATTCAAGACAATATAACTTACAAAAGACTATCGCATGGCTGGGTTTCGGCAGCAGGACCAAGGATTATTTTGCCATCACTAAAATGTAAAAAAAGACCATACATATTTTAAGTGAACAGAACTGTCAAAATAAAAAAAACCTGTGCAAAAGAAACTACTTCTATTGTTTTTTTTTTATTTTTTGAGACAGAGTCTCACTGTGTTGCCCTGGGTAGAGTGCTGTGGCATGACAGCTCACAGCAACCTCAAACTCTTGGGCTCAAGTGATTCTCTTGCCTCAGCCTCCCAAGTAGCTAGGACTACAGGTGCCTGCCACAACGCCCGGCTATTTTTTGTTGCAGTTGTCATTGTTTAGCTAGTCAGGGCTGAGTTCGAATCCATCAGCCTTGGTGTACGTGGCTGGCGCTGTAACCACTGTGCTACAGGTGCCGAGCCATCTATTTTTTAATAGTCTATTTTATTTGGCTTAAATTTAAGAGTTGACAAATAATTCTGGAATATGTTAGCAAAACATTCTATTTTCCGGAAGAGAAACTACTGCTGTATCCTTCTCCTGCCTTCTTCACCCCCATCCTCCAAATGTCCTCGTGGGACATGACTGTGACTGTCCTGCTTACAATCCTTGGACAGTCACATGTGACCTAGGATGTAAAAATTCCAGTTCCTTCAAATCCCTCTCTAACTGACCAGCCTACCTTCCCAAACTCATCTACTATTAGATCTGTTTCACTTCTTCAGTTTCAATAAGGTAGAACTGATTATGGGTCTCCCCCAGTGGATGCTCTGATATTTCTTGCTTCTGTGAATGTAGAAGCAATGTACCCTTATCTTTGGTTGATCTGCTTTTTTGAACATTCACATTGCAACGTTAGGTCATAAATGACATACTTCTCTTCAAATGAAGTCTCTGGCTTAGAAGGCAGCTTTGAATTTTCAGAAGCTTCCACGTCTAGAGATACTGGCAATAATGAAGGAATTGACACTTGCAAGATGCTGGTGTGGAACTGTAATATAATTACAAAAAATAAATCAGCCATACAAACAAATCACAAGCTACAAAACATAAGAAGGATGATTAAACAGTGTATCAATATAATTTCATACATCTGTGTTTAGAACTCTATTCCTTGGTCTATACAATGATTTCAGAATATAAATATCTACATGGAAGTATTAATCAGAAAGACATTCTGGAGGAAGGTGGTTTTTGAACTTGGCTCTGAATAAGATTCTGAATATTGTGAATTAAACAGAATAAGTATCATTAACTAACTTAATAGTAAATCCTGTCAACTTGAAGCCCTGGCTAGATCTTAGTTCTGATACACTTGCCCAAGTGGTCTTAGTCAAGTTACTTCATTATGCATCAGTTTTTCCTCCGTAAAATGAGAAGAACAAAGCTTACCTTATAGGGTTGCAGTGACTTAACAGGAGATTTGGGTAACATGCTTTGTTCACAAAGCTCTAGTTTTTACTTTAGTTTCTACCATTAGTCTAACATGGAACACTGATCAAGTCAGTTAATTATTATTCTGTCAACTAGTTAACTGATTTTAATTGACAGAATGGATGAAAGTGTAATTGCAACCCATTACAATGTACTTGCGGCTACCACTTAAAACACTTTTGCTCAGCAACGATGTTACAGCAACAAATAAAACACATAACACATTTTCTCAAAGGAATGCTTTATGCATCCTAAACATGGAGTATGAAAGAATTTTAAAACTTTGGTTTTCAAAAACTTTTCACAACTGTAGGTCCGTTAGACTGTAGACCACACTGTACATTAATAAACGAAATACTTTTAAAAAAATGAACAAAGGTTGCCACAGAGAGGTCCTGCAAGTCAATCTGCTGCTGAAAGCTGCCCTATAAAGACTCAAAGCACTGAACACACTTCTACATGCCAACCAATCAGAAGCATCTCACCTTAGTAACCACACCTCCATAGCTGATGTTAACTCACTCTTGCCAACCAATCAGAAGCATCTCACCTTAGTAACCACACCTCTACAGCTGATGTCAACTCACTCTTGCCTCCAAGAGTCTACAGCTTTAAGAATCCTACAAACCCTATTGATGATCAGCTTAAAGCAGCGGTTCTCAACCTGTGGGTCGCGACCCACAGGAACTGTATTAAAAGGCCGCGGCATTAGGAAGGTTGAGAATCACTGGAAATGTACTTGACTAGCAAAGCTCACCTACTTAAGGAAGTAATACATTCAGCTTTGTGATTTTGGTTTCACTTATTGCATTGTGGTCTCATCCTTTACATTATGAAAGTTAGAACAATAATTTATATATTTATATTATTATAAAATAGAAGATTATTTCACAATCAATTTTTTTCAGTTCAAATCTCTATGATTAATCCTGGGCAACTTATTTAACCCTTATCACTGTTTCTTGAACTTCATTTATTTCCTGGAGTTTTTAATCATAGGGAAAAAGTAACTACACAAACAGACTGGCCCATTTTCTTGATCTCTTTTGCAAACATTCAGGTTTATTAAATCTAATCTCAAATTTCCCTCATCATAGTTCACTGCAACCTCTAACTCCTGGGCTCAAGTCATCCTCCTGTCTCAGTCTCCCAAGTAGCTGGGACAATAGTGTATGTGACCAACCCAGCTAATTTTTGTATGTTTTGTACAGACAGGGTCTCTCTTTTGCTCAGGCTGGTCTCAAACTCCTGAGCTTAAGTGTTCCTCCTGCTGCAGCCTCCAAGTGCTAGAATTACAGGCGTGAGCTACCATGCTCGGTTCCTGTCTTTTTCTTAAAAGTGTGGCTGACCTCCTGCAGTCCTCACCAAACCATTTTTATTACAGACTCAAAACCCATCATTAAATTACAATTCAAAGTCTTTTTTTTTTAAAGATATGAGATTATTTCGGTGTATTCTACATGTAACAAAAGCTCCTCTCTATAAATGCAACACACACATTGGTTGCCAAACATTATTTTTCCCTTCAGTATAAATATATATTTAGCAATTAAGGGATTTTTTCCCCTCTAATGTACTTATTATTCCTTAACTAATTCCTTGATTCATGAAACATTTTAGCCCCTTCCTATACTGAAGAAAGAGAATTGTTAATTGGTTTCTACTTGAATTCACATTCGTTCAAGTTTCATTTTTTCATTATGTAATCAGCAGAAACAGATATGAAGAGTAAAGATACCTCTTGGTTTCATCTCACTCTCTACAGCAAGATGTGAGAGATGACTGAAGAAGGGCCTGCTAGATCTCAGGGAGCCAAGATTCTTTTGGTGAATAAGGAAACTGTTTCCCCTTCCTGATTGTTTCTAGTCTCTCTAGACAGTAAATTACAATAAAGTTAAAAAAGGTTTCAGGGCAATAAGGAAGCATAGGTACAGTCAGGAAAATGTGGTCTTCAGATAAAGGCTACAGGTGTGGCTGTAAAACCCTTATTGAGACCGCAGGAAAATTTAAGGTAGTACTAGTCCCTAGAACCTTTCAAAAAGATTAAAGGCTCTAAAAACAATGGGATATCTCACAGTCACTAGTAGGAAACCAAAGCCAGAGAAAGGCTTAGGGTCAAGATATTTGTGGATGTGCTCTTATCTAACGGGAGTGGATCAAAGATTGATTCATATGAAATTCTTTTTTTTTTTTTT